CAGAAATATAATAATCAAGCTCTCCAAAATCAAAGATAAGGACAGAATCCTGAAAGCAGCTAGGGCAAAGAGAAACATTACATACAAAAGCCAGCAAATCAGTTTAAGCTCGGATCTCTCAGCAGAAACCATGCAGTCAAGAAGGCAATGGGGAGACATATACAAAACCCTGAAAGGAAAAAAAAACTGCCAAGCAGCAAAGCTGTCAATCAAATATGATGGTGTAATCAAAACATTCCAGGATTAACAGAGGCTAAGGGATTTTGCCAAAAGCCAATCCTGCTATGAAATACATCCTAAAGGAAGTTCTGTGGACTAAGAACCAACAAGAACAGACAACAACCAGAGATTGACATACGTGGCAGCATCACCATGAACTCAATTGACAAATAGAAGAGAATAAAAGAACATTATAAGAACAGAGGATCTGGGAGTTTAGTCCATTATCAAAACAATTACAATGTACACTGTACAAAGAAGGTAAACACAGGAACATAGATCCAGGTGGTGAGAAGCTCAGGTAGATTACAGGACAAAATACTGTCTTAAATGGAGGGAAGAGTTAATGGAATATAAGGTAACCATAACAGTGGGTTGGGGTGGGCAATACAAGAAGAGGGAGGAGGTTGAGTAACAAGATAGGGGAATACTGAGACAGACTAACATGGCCTGAGTGGGACAGAGGTAACTAGTGATGCATGCTCAACCATGGAACAACAGGGCTCTGTGATACAGGGATCTAGGCATAGTTTGAATAGGGGAAATAAATCTAAAATGCTTGACTATCTTATGAATATTGGTTTCCCTTGCCTACTATTGTAAAATAGAACTTAAGTGGGATAGAAAGGAATGTTTGGAAACAAGATTAGAGAAAATTTATAAGCCTGTCTTCAGCCTGTAACTGATTGGAATACCTAAAATGAGTTCTAGAACTTGCCCAGTGAAATAGGTCTCTTGCAAAGCCTTTGCAAAATATAGGACCTTAGGTGGAATCCTGAGTGCCATCCAGAGCATTATGAGGTGGGACATTCCCACTAGAGAGAACAAGCAGTCCAGCCTGGAACAGCTTGAGCAACAAACAGAAGATTCATCTTCAAAGAAAGATCATCAGGAAAAACCCAAAACAAAAACATCAGCATGACTGGCTACTATAAGAATAAGCAAGCTGTTCACCAGGAAACCATCAAAGCAAGCACTCAAGGTGCTTCAGGATAAACTTCCCTCTAAGATTGAAACTCAAAGGGAACACATGAACAGGCATGTAAGCTTGCTGGCAACCACATTAGGCAATTGGTGAGTGGAAGAGGGGAAAAGGCAGCAATGAAGAAATGGGCTGAGTTCAACCACATTCCACAGACTCCCGTTGACCTGGAGAGGAAGGGCTGGTTGGTCCAAAGTGTGGTGAGACCTGGGGACACCTGAGCCCATGGACAAGGACATAGCCACAGAGGGCTAGAGCTGAGAGTGAAGCATCCAGCTGATATGAAGTGAGGGGAGATGCACAAGAACACCAGACTTGTAGACAGTACCCATTTGACCTAGCCTCGATGGCTTGATAATCAGAACTCAACTACAGGAAGATTTTAAAAATTTCTTTGATAAAGGAAACAAGGGTAAATTGCTACAATTTGATTAACCTGACTTATTATACTCATGGAGGCATAACTCTAAATACCAACAGAGAGGGAAGGAGTCTCTACATCAAGTATCAATGCTATCCCCTCTGTCCACAGGGTAAATAGGGATGGGCAACTTAGACACTGACTACCTAAACTGAGGGAGTGGTAAAGTGACTGGCTTACAAGGTTTCAAGAGGGAGCTTAGTTTAAGAGTGTGTGTGTGTGTGGGGGGGGGGGGGGGGGGCGGAGGCTGAGAAAGAGACCCCACTGAATAGTTTTTTGTCTAGATGGGTCTGGTGAAAACGATGGGGATAAGATTCTTAGGAATTCAGTAGTAATTGTTATGACTAATTGTGACTGTCACAATTGTAATGGTAGAAATTTTGTAACAAAAACAGAGGATCAGTTAATCTTACAGCCCATTAAGGGAGAAGAGCACACGCAGAATGCAGGACCTTACCCAGAGAAGCAGTGAGGTCAGAGATGGAGTCAGAGATGGGGACATGGAGAGGGGAAGCAGCTGAAGAGTCTAGATTCATGGGAAGAGAGAGACTAAGAGCTGGTGGCCAGGAGGCAGACTTGCAGAATGGCCCTTTGGAGATGTAAATTATATATGATGCCTGAGTGTTTTAAAAAAAAAAAAGTTAAAGTGAACAGAGAGAAATATTGTGAATTGATGGTACATGGAGGGGATTATAATCATTGTGATGAAACAAGGCGTATGATTTGTTGAATGTATAACCGATGAGCTGCTGTGTAAACTTTCACTCAATTCACAATCTAAACATTTTTTTTTAAGATTAGGGAAAGCCAATAGAGGAAGAAGTAATATCTGCATTAAGACAGAATACATATTTTTAATGCCTGTTGTACTTAGGAAAATAGTGTTCAACTTCATCACTAAATAACCCTTCTTGTTTTCTTGCTCATATTACCACTTATTGGAGTTCTGGTGTGGTGCTGTGGGTTAATGTTATGGACTGCAAAGTTGTTTGAAGCACAAGGTTGGCAGTTCAAGCTCACCAGCAGCTCCTCAGAAACCCTATCCTGGGTCGATAATGCTTCCGAACAAATCAGTGGCATTTAACAACAACTCTGATATTTAACCCATTTAACAACAACTCTGATAATTAACCAAGTGACAGACCTTCCCCCAAAAAACTGAAGTGTTAAGAAATGCTGACTGATTGTGTTGCCTTGAATAAAATAATAATGTAAGAAATTTAGAACAATACAGGTTAAAAGCTAGAGTTTGCCTCCAATGAAGTCTTTTGCATAGCAAATGTAATATCTTTGTATTTGAAGTCTCAACTTTATATGGTATTTTTTTCTGATGTTAGGTCTTTTTTGGAAGGAAAAGCAACTGAGAAACATCTTGAGGGATACTACAATAAGATGTGGTTCACTTAAGGTTCTGAAGTGAAGTATTGTACTGTGGTTTTAAGGGGCCAGGCTCTCTGGGTTTGATTCTGTCTCTGCCACTTATTCTTTTTTATGATCTTATTTATTTGTTAGGTAGGGATGCTTATGACACTTACTGATAGATTTATTTTCAGTATTAAAGTAGTTAATAAGCATTTCACACCCATTGCCATCAAAAAATACATCAGGAAGATTTTAAATATGTTTCTTTGTAAACAGATGCTGTGTTATAAACTGATTCTATTCAGTGAATGAGTATAATGAATGATCTATCACCTATCTGTCAGCTTGTCGTGCTATATTGGTTGCTGTGGTGCTGAAGCTATGCCATCAGTATTAAGCTTGATGGACAACTTTCAGCAGAGCTTCGTTACTAAGACAAACTAGAAAGGAAGGCCTGGTCATTTACTTCAGAAAACTAGCCAATAAAAACCTTATGAATCACTTCAGAATAATGTCCAACATAGTGCTGAAAGATGAGCCTGCCAGATTGGAAGTCACTCAAAATACACAGTCACTAACTATGAACTCAAGCAGATCAATGATTGTAAAGCTGGTACCAGATACTTCATTCTGTTGTACAGGGTCATGAGCAAAGCTGATTTGATGACTCTTAACAATCATCTCAATGACTTATGGAATTACAGGTGCATTTTACTAAATGATACAGGTCCTAAGTCTCATACAGAAGTAAAGATTCTAATTGGTTCCTAGTTGATTCATTTATGGCCCCCTCATGATTAATGCTATGATCTGTTCTTCTCTCCCTCGATCCTGTTCTTTGCAGTCAGATACTTCTGGAGACTATGAAATCACTCTCATAAAGATCTGTGGAGGAGATGACTGAATCAGAGAGATAATCTCCAAAGGTCCCCTGCTCCCATAGTGGAATTTTCCAGCAGCTACTCTCTCTCTCAAAATACCGACATGTATAAATAGTGTAAGCAACAATCTGTCTTCCTAACAGTCTTTTCCACTGTCCCATAACAACATAAATGAATATTTTAGAGCACTTCTTTTATAATATAGTTGATTCAAATTAAATTTTGGAATACTGTTGAAGTTCTACTAATACCATCCAAATTAGAGCTCTGTTCATGAAATGAGAATTTTTGTATGGTCCTAAAACATTAAATATAATAAAATACAATAAC